CCAGTCATGGGGCCTGAACTCTGGGCCTGGGCTCTGTCCCTCAGATCTTCAGCTCAAGGCTAGTACTTTACCACTTGAGCCACAGCGCCACTTCCGGCTTTTTCTGCTTGTGTGGTGCTATGGAATAGAACCCAGGGCCTAATGTATGCACGGCAAGCACTCTACCACTGGGCCATCTTCGCAGCCCCCCAATTTAAAAAATTTTCAATAAAAGTGGCATAGAATCTGCATATAACACATTCTACCATATACCCAATTCATCTCTGGGTTAATTATAATATCCAATACAATGAAAATAGTTGTTATACAGTATTGTTTAAGGAATGACAGGAAAACCATATGCGTATGTTCACTACAGATGAAAACAGTTTTCCAAATATTTTCAACTAGTGACTGATGAAAACCATGTATGTGGTAAGTACAGAAATGGAAGGCCAACTAAACCTTAAGACGTACAAATTTACTGTGTTTAATATGTATATAGTAAAATGTACATACTCATTTGCATTTAACTGAAGATCTAATATGTATCTAGGTACATATATTATGCATATCTATACACGATAACGCCTTCGATGTTTCTGTTTGTTCGTTTGTTGGGGGGATGGGGACTGAAGCCAGCACTGAGGTTGCACCCCGCCCTCTGTTCCTCACATAGCTCTCACAGACGGTAGCGGCTGAGACCCAGCACCAGGGTCTGGCACAAAGACTCAAGGGGGAAAAAGAAGTGATCCATGGTAAGACTGACCAGGGAGAAAGAAATGTGTTGCCTGCAATTATACATTTGTTCTTCCTTCCTTTATTTTAATTTCTGCAACCCCTCCTATTGTCATTTTGTAACCTGCTGAGAAGCAAGACACAAACCAGTCTTTCTAAGGAAGAAAATTAGTAGCAGATGCAAGCTTATTTTCAATGGCATAAGACCAAATTTCCTGGACTTAAACACTCTGTTCCCTCAACGTTCTCTGGCTCCATCAACATACAGCTGTAGACTCTCACTATAATTCATAAACTAAAAATAGTTCCAAAAACTTAACAGTAAAAAACCACAGTTCCCACTGTATTGTTTGCTTTTTATCATACAATGAACAAAAGGTTTGAATACAGATGTTTTCTGAACACGACGTTTTAGACTACAATTTTTATAAAATAAAAATTATCTGCAGAGGATACACTGGATTATCAGCAAGTCTTTTACTACAATTGGTACTGGTTCAAAGTTGAATAAAGAAGGCATAGAATGTCAATTCTAGCAGAACACATTGGGATGGTGGTCTGAATGTATCACTAGTAACAATTCTGGCTAAGGTATTTGCAGCCAAATATAATAACTTCTAGTATAGAAAATGTTGGGTTTTTTTTTTTTTGTGTGTGTGTGTGTGTGCTATACAGAATCCTTCTCAGGGTAAAAATGGGATGTTGTCACCCAACCCCACACCAAGAAATCTTCTGGAAAAAGGGAAGGAAAAAAATTGGGAAGTTCCAGTCCTAGCTGTGGAACACCTGCAGGACTTCAGGCAAACCTGCCCTTGGCTGCAATTTCTTCTTTTGTAAAACAGTTCAGCGTGCCGAGGCCTAAAATAACTGGAAGCCCAACACTGCCACTTTTCACATTCTGGCCTTTCTCAGCCCCTGGTCCCAGGAGTGGCTCCCAAGGGCAATCACAATGACCTGGGTTCAAAGCTGCTCCATTTAACAGCTTGTATAACCCAAAAAGTCACTCATCCTTCCCAGGGCTCAGTTTCCTCATCTGTAGCATACCTGAAGCAATACCTGTATCTTGAAGGTTTGTTTGGAGGATTAAAAGAAACAATGTACATACAGATAATGTATCCAAAAGAGTGCTTGGCTCATAGTAATTACTCAGTTAGTGTTGGCAGCTTTGACTATCCCAGGCTGGCCTGAACTAGGACCAGAGGAGAAATATCAGGCGCAAACTTGCAAGCCACTTGAAGGATAAACTTAAGTCATGAGATCAACAGCTCTGAGACTGTCACTAACAGTGCTCATGAGATGGTAGCTCAGGCAGTTCTGGTTTTAAAGACTAGTGTGTGACTGTGGCCAGGCCTCAGGGGCCCAGACAATCAAGTACCCCGGCACCCTGTGGCCCCTCTTCACTGGCAGCTAAGCCTTCGGCTGTGTTTCTACCTGTCTCAGTTTCTGCATTCCACAAATAATAACCATGTTCCCCAACACTGGATTAAAAAAGACAAGGACAATTACATCATGGTTTATAAATGAAGGCAGCTTATGAAGTGAAATCTTGGAAATACTTTGATAGTTCTTTTGCATCTACCTTAAATCTTTACTTCTTTTGCTTGGGGTCTTTCTTCCTCTTCTTCTTCCATTACTACTGTCTGGAACTGAAGGAAGAAAAGTAAGGACTGTGGCCACATTCAACTACAGCCTGATATGGAAGTAATGTTTTATTCTTACATAGCCACTCCTCCTTATTTATGAATCAACTGCAGTGGCTTTTGGGCTACATGAACAGAGTTGAGTAGTTATTGCCTCAAAGCCTGAAATACTGACTACCTGGTCTGCAACAGAAAGATTGCTGATCGTGGCACAGAACACAACGAGTTCACAGATTGCCTATTACCATTTCGTTGAATATGTGGCAATCACCACTTCAGTCAACATTGAGCAAGTGTTTGTTGAATGCTCTAAGCAGCAGACACCGGGCCACGCTCTGGAAAGGCAAAGCTGGACTACAATGGTGCAGATGACAGACTGGCCCTGTCTTTGGTATGTGCACAGGACAGGGGAAGACAGGACATGATTACACAGTCACCTTTCCCAATGCGATGAGTCTATACAGAGGGGAACACAGGTGTGAGGAACATGTAAGGGGAAGATCTAATAGATCTTAGGAAGCCTACCCCAAACAACTGACCTTTAAGTTGAGGTCTTAAGTAGACTTTCTGGCTCTGCACTGTCAGGGCAAAAGGCGGCTCCCTGACACTACCTGAAATGCAAATGGATGAAATGCAAACATTCTCAGTCTACACTTACTCTATCCACTTATCTAGCTATGTACTGCAAAAGAAAAATGTGAACTATAAAAAAAGCTGGATGTTTAACCTTGAAATAGTAATTCTAAGCAAAACACATTTTAATGTAAATGAAGACCGTAACCCACGTTCACTTGCTTGACAGCAGACATCAACACTGGAAAAGCCAGTTCCATTCTTTATGCGTGGAAAATCAAGAGTCCACAGTGAGTGTCCTTTCCCTTCACACTGGGTGAGCACACACCGATGCCCTGTGGACGGAGGGCGCCTGGCTGCCGTGCAGGGGACCTGCTGCCCGTCAATGCTGACCAAGAGGGCTCAGGCGCCTCACCTGCTCCGCCTCCAGCTCAGGCGCCTCACCCCCTCCGCCCACCTTCCAGCTCAGGCTCCTCCCGGCTGGGGCCCAGGCCTATAAAACATCTTAAAGCTGCACAGTCCTGGGAATGGTAGTGGTCAGCCTAAAGGAAAGAGGCTAATGGAGGCAAGACAGCTTCCCAGGGGGCGGCAGCTCCCAGGCTGTGGCTCCGGGCTGCGCCGCTCACCGTCAGTACCTGGCTGGTCACTGGCAGATCTTGCACATGTCAGAGCCAACACCACCTCCAGCACAATCACAACAAGGTAAGAGGAAGGAATCTCTGAGGCTGCAGATGGGCTGGAGGTGACCCTCAACCCGTGAAGCTGCAAAACGTGTGGAGAGCCAGGCCTGCGCAGGGAACAGGCAAGCAAACACAAAGCAAGAGGAAGGTCTAGGCCTCCTCCTCCGGCGGGAGCTACGCTGCCTTCCTCCTTGGCGAGTCTGGTGGGGCAGGAAAGCCAAGCAAGCAGGCCTGCAGACGGGGCCCGGACACCTTAGGAACACCTTAGGGAGGGCAGAAAAAAGCCACTTCCTTTCCAAAGCAGACTCCACTCACGAAGATGCTGTACGGTTGTCTAAGATCTTAACGCACACCCATTTATAAAGTCCTCAGAACTGTGTAGAATTTGGAAAATAATTCATATAAATTGTAAATTTTTGTAAACAAAGTCTTTAAGTAACTCCATATAGAGGGATTCTTTTAGTCTAGGCCCTTCTCTATTTCATATTAAGACTTCATACATTTATAAACTACTGTGACTTTATAAAAGAAGAAAGGAATCAAGGGAACATAAAATGGATTAAGTTAATATCAAGTAGTTGCAGGTAGGGGTGTCTATTTCTTTTGTTTGTTTGTTTGAGACAGGGTCTCACTAAGTAGTTCAGGCTGGCTTTGAACTTGGAAGACTCCAGAGGGTGAGAGATGTGCACCACCATATCCCAGTATTACTTCCTTTTTAATTTCCTCCATCATGAGGTTTCAACTCAGGGCTAGGCAGGGTCTCTGCACTCTGTCTGTTCAAGGCTCGAGCTCTGCCACTCGAGCCACAGCACCACGTCCAGGTTTTTTTGTAAACTGGAGATAAGGGTGTCAGGGCCTTTCCTGTCTGGCTTCAAATCGTGATCTCGGCCTCAAGTGTAGCTCATGCCCTCCTGTGCCACCAGCATTCAACATTACTTTTCTTAATGAAAAAAAATTTTCTCGAGTGTCATTCTACTTAGAAAAAAAGTGGGGGTGGTGGAAGAAAAAGGACCAAAGTAAAAAGAAAAAAAGAAATTTGAATAGTTTTAAACTGTTTCTAAATAATTTTCCCTCATGTCTTGAGACGCCCTGCCTAGATTCCATTACATCACATAACAATACTGAGATATCCCTAAATACTTGAAAAGTGCTTCTGGTCTTTCTTGTCTATGCCATTGAAATAGAGTGGAGCATGTCTGCACAGAACACACCATTCCTTATAAAGTGGGAAGGGCCTTGTTGCCTAATTATGGAAATTACAACTCTGAGCCAGAAGGTAGTCTTCAGGAATGTGCCTGAGCTCATACAATATTAAACCCTAGAATTCCATCAGCACCAGCCTGGTCCAGAATAAATAGGGCCATCAGATGCAAGGGACTGACCTGAATTAAGTGACTAATGTACCCTAACAAGGGGGCAGGATGGCCACAGAGCACACAGAGCAAGCAGCGCTGTCAGTGACGGCTAGCGATGAGATGGCCAGAAAAGCAAGTAGCTTCGTATGAATCTGCAAGACTATGAAAAACATCCCCAACAAAACCCCAAACAATATTAATGTTCACTCGCCAACAAGATTTTTTAATCAAGTGGGGGGTTAAAAATTAAAATTGAATCATGAAGAAACTAAAAGAATCAAAGGAAATTAAACCCACCCAACAGTACTGACAACCAGAAACTTTGCCAATTATTTTCCAGTCATTAGCAGGTAGGGTGTGGAACCTATGCATCAAAGTGCCACTCTATAACATGACATGCTCTGGAAGCCACATCTGTGCTGACCGACCTCAGAAATCCATCAAGAAAAAATGGAATGCTGTAGGTTGAGAACCCAGTTGTCATGGTTCTCTTTAGTACTTTCATACCAGTCACTGTTCCCCTCAGCAACTGGATCAACATCTTTGTGAATAGTAGGCAGAATTTTTCTTCACTGTTCCTGGCTGAAATTAGTTCAGCAGCTTCTTGGAATGAGAAATGACACACCAAGATAGACAGTGTGGGGCTGGGAATGTGGCTTAGTGGTAGAGTGCTCGCCTAGCATGTATGAAGCCCTGGGTTCCATTCCTTAGTACCACACGAGTAGAAAAAAGCTAGAAGTGGCACTGTGGCTCAAGTGATAGAGCGCTAGCCTTTAGCAAAAAAAAGCTCAGGGACAGTGCCCAGGCCCTCAGTTTAAGTCTAAGGACTGGCAAAAAATAAAAAAATACGATAGTGCAATGATTTCTGTGGCTTACATGCTGCGAAAGAGGCAGCTAATCCAGACTTCTTCCTCAACCTGCCAGCCAATCCAGAGTTCCCCAACCTGCCAACCAATCCAGAGTTCTTCCTCAACCTGCCAGCCAATCCAGAGTTCTTCCCCAACCTGTCAGCCAATCAGAGTTCTTCCCCAACCTGCCAGCCAATCCAGAGTTCCCCAACCTGCCAGCCAATCAGAGTTCTTCCTCAGCCGGACACAAGTCCAGACCTCACCATTGGCCTCTTTTGCTTTCTCGAAGAAAAGAAGTTATGACCCATTAAAACAGTGAGTGTCAGGAAGCAGCATTTCTATTGGTGTTGCTACTCCTTGGACAAATTATAGCGAGACAGAGAGGAATTGTAGATTAGAAGGACAGAGGACACAGCAGACTGTATGCTAAATTACCACACAAAAAGCAATTGCCATCAGTCCCGCTGAAAACTGCTAGGATTCTTTTCCCCCAGCCACCACTAACTTGGGGGTAAACGGAGAGACTCACTCTGAGAAGCAAAATGCCCCTCTGCAACCATGTCTTCATGCTCCTCGTATTCCCTGCTAGACAGCTGCCTGTTGGCCGTCTCCAGTCGATCTGTGAACAAAGAGAAGATAATTAAAAGACTTATATATGAGTTTAAGCAAGGAGTCTTAAATAAAGGAGACTACAAGCACTGAGTACGAAGGGATACTCAGGCGGGAGCCCCAAAGTGAACTATTCTTGGGGAAGAACAATAAATGAATTCTAAAGAACATCTAAAGAAAGGCCTGAGATGCCACCTGTGCCCCTGTGCACCAGCAATGCTGGACAGGTTGAGACTACCTCACTGCTTCTGAACCCTAAACCTCCACTTTGAAATCCTCTCACAGACACGCAGTCTTCATAACCTCTAACCAAGCCCTACTCCAACTTTGACCAATAGCCCTAGATTTCATACAGTAACTACTACCTGAAAACAAAATTAATAAAAGTAACAAATTAATTCCCAGGTCAGAATGACTAATGGATGAAGACTATATAGTGAGTTCTACATTCACTCAAACCACTTGGCATATCTTTATTTATTCAATTAAATGATGCAGCTCAGCAAGTATTTATTGGATATGTGACAGCCAACAGAAAAAGGCTTAGGTCCTAACTAGTGGGGACTACTCATACATTGAGTGCTGGAATGTATGAGGCAGCTGGAAAATGGCTTGCTAACTGAAAGAGAGGCTGGGCACCGGTGGCTCACACCTGTCATCCTAGCTACTCAGGAGGCTGAGATATGAGGATTGCGGTTCAAAGCCAGCCCTGGCAAGAAATTCCATGATACTCTTATCTCCAATAAACCACTCAGAAGACCGGAAGTGGCGCTGTGGCTCAAGTGGTAGAGCACTCGCCTTGAGCTGAAGAGTACAGGGACAGTTCCCAAGCCCAGAGTTCAAGCTCCACAACCGACCCTCCCCCCCCCAAAAAAAGAGAGAGGTAAGAATTCATGGGTTGTATTATCACGTATCTTGGAAAGAAGAAGGCTGGAAGTAAACCACATAGAATTGATGTGGAGATGTAATTAAGCAATCCATGAAAAGAAATAAAAAAGCAAAAGTTCTGTTTTACTCGGCAATGAGTAACATGCACAAAATCAAAATGATGTGATAGTTGCTTGACCCCAAATCTGAGCATGATTTTGGGACAATATAAGAGAAAAAGTAATATAAATGAAGATATGACAAATAACTGCTTGAGGAAAAACACTGCTAGTAATAAAGTCACTGCTCTGGAGAATTGTAGGGCCACTAGGGTTCTCATAAGGTGTAAAAGACTTCAACAATCACATATATTCACGCATGCATTCTACTGAAAGCGGAGAACCACGAAGGCCCCTACCAGAAGGGAAAAGCTGAGAAAAGTGCTTACCTCTTAGAATGAACAACTGAGGTTATAAAGAGAAACAGAAAACTATTGTTTTAAAGTCCTTCAGAAGCGTCGAATTAAATAATTTTCATGTTATTAACAGAAAGATGCAGTGGCTTTTACCTTTCGAGGAGGTATGGGTCTTCTATCTTTCCTGAAGGGTGAGCATATGTCTAGCTTTATCCTCTACATTAGCTCTAGCAAGTGAGACTCTGGCTCCCAAAGAATTCTACCAGGTGACTCAGCCTCATCTGGAAAGGCAAGTGCATCCAACACTGGTCTCTAACGTTCCTAGTCAGACAATGGTGAGTCACATTCGCACACAGACTCTCTTCCGTCCATATCCTCCCGCCACGGCCACTTCAAAAGCTCCTTGCTGCAATGTCAATAAATAAGACAGAAGAGAAGAGCTCTGCTGTTTTAGCACCTCCACTTTCTCCGGGCTGATGACAGTTACAGGATTATCTGATACAGGAAGAAGAGCATGGTGGCAAAGCAATCTGGCTCTGGACCAAGCTGTCAACTACACAGGTAGTCAGGGTGGAGAGAATACAGGTAGAAGGTGACATGCCTCTAAGGTCTCTGTTGAAGTCGTGCAGTCTTCTGATTTCCCCTTCCAGCTTGTTTCTCATTGCCTTGTCCAGCGACTCTCGCTTAGTGGTAGACTTGACCAGACTCTCATAGGCTTCCGAAATTCTCTGAAGTTCTTTTTCAAACTGTAAGAAAGAACTGGCATTGAGGTGGCATCCACGCCAGTGTTTCAGGAACAGAGATGCTTAGCATTTCAGATGCACCTCACATTTCGTGTCTACCAAATTCCCGTGGAATCAATTTCGCCCCCATTCTGTCCTTTAAAGGTCAGTTAGGTTCCTGTCAGGACAGATGCCTAAGTCTGGCTAGACCCTCCAGTGTTACCTTGTAAGTTTCTCGGTACTGATACTAGGCATAAATCTAAACCCAATTTAAACCTCTTACATTTCGGTGCCCATGTGTAACTAGTATTACCATTCCAATTTAACACGAAAAGGTTAAAATATGGAAAGCCAAACACAACCAAAACCCAAACCTCTAGACGCTTAAGTGCAATACTCTGTCTTCCTATAGACCTTCTCCCCTGTCAGAGGCTTCATTACGAGTGATTACAGAGTATTTTTACTTCTTGTCTGTGAAAGTACCTCTATGAAAGATCAATGAGCTTTTAGCAAAGTGTAAACAAATGTACCACAGAAAGTCTCCATGTGTGCAGGAATTGAGAGATACAGGATTAAAATGTTATTTTTCTATATTGCACCAAATTGGAAACTTTAACTGAGGAATACTTGGCTTACAGCACATATAAATTGACAAGTAGCGGTAACTGCTGTAACAAGAGTCTAAGACAATCATGTTTTTGAAGATCCTTCAATTGTGCTTGAATGCAGGAGGAAAGGTGAGAGGTCTGTACATTTGGACACTTGCTGTGCTACTGTGGGAGAGGGAATCTGACGCAGAGCTGACAGAATGAAATTGCTAATGCATCTCACTGGGCTCCGGGAGGCCAGCACCACAATTTTGGTCCTTCTAGAGGAGAGTAGTGTCATGGAAACCTATTTTCTAAAGGAAACTACCTAGGTCAGAAAGCTGCTCACTGTGCTTCTCTGAATAACACACACACTAATGTGTGTTCATTCTTTGTTTACAATGTGTGGAGAGTCTCCTGGGCCTCAGAATACACAAAGAAACAAGATAATTCTCAACTTTAGCAGCTCACAGGCTAAGCTGGTGTGTACCCAACCACAGGCACCTATACAATATAGAGAGGTCTGAGGGGTATGATAGCAAAATGCCTTAAGACCTAGAGATGGCATAATTAATTTAACAGGGGAAGAAAAGGGGCTCCTTGAAAACTATCTCATTTCATTTGAAATAAGCCATGAAGGCAAATAGGAAATTTTCCTGTTTCTCTTCTAAGAAAGGTCAGTGGGTTTGGGCATTCTAGGCAGAAAATGAGCAAGAAGTATCATCATGAAAATAAGTCCACATCTATCTTCCGCCTCATGGATGGTTCGGGATGAGAATAGGTAGAAGTGGCAGGAGCCAGGACCAAAGGAAAGACTTCATGTAATAGGCAAGGTAGAGTTCTGGGAGGAAGCAGGGTAAAGAAGAGCCTTGGAGAGGTGGACTACAGCATCTTACACAGCAGGAATGGATGAAACAGAACACAATAAGTCTAGGTGCAAAGATAATGTAAACAGTTGAGCAACAGATTACAAGACATAAAGTAGGATGGACACATTAAAACACAAAACCTAAGGACACTGAAGAGCAAATTAGCAGGTCTTGGTGACTGGGTCTAACTGGTAAGGGAGAAAGCAATCAAAGACAAATAGTGTAGAAGATGGGTAATACAACGTAACCAAGATAAATGATGGTAAGAGAACAGGTTTCCTGAAGAAAGAAAACCTGTTTAGCAACAAAAATACTACGCTTGGGATCAGCAGAATATCAAAGACTTCCCATTAGCAGGTGGAGGTATAGGTCTGAAAATCAGGAAAGTATGTGCAGCATCATCAGTGAATGCATGACAAAGGTCAAGAATGAAGACAAGCCGGGCGCTGGTGGCTCACGCCTGTAATCCTAGCTACTCAGGAGGCTGAGATCTGAGGATCGTGGTTCAAAGCCAGCCCGGGCAGGAGAAACCGTGAGACTCCTATCTCCAATAAACTACCAGAAAACCGGAAGTGGCGCTGTAGCTCAAGTGGTAGAGCGCTCGCCTTGAGCTGAAGGACAGCGCCCAGGCCCCGAGTTCAAGCCCTACGACCAACCAAAAAAAAAAAAAAATGAAGACAAAACTGTCACAAGTCTAGAAACCCAAGAGAGAGAAGGCTGGGTGAGGGAGGAGAGAGACTCCAGTGGTATCCTAGGTCCAAGAAGTGAAAAGCTTTCAAAAGGGGAAAATCATAGCCAATGCTCCTAGAAGTGACAATACAGCCAAGACAGTCGGGTGAGGCTGGTGGAGAGTTAGAAGGCCCTTGGACCCAGATATCCACACTCCTTTTGCTAGCTCTTTAAATTTCCCTATGGCTGAACTTGCCAGAGTTGGCTCTCCACTATCTGCTATCTCCCAGGAAGCTTTTCTGTTCTTCCAGACACCATGACTTGTGGGTAACATGGTAGCACAGAGAATAGCATGTCCTAAGTTGTATTCACAGTGCTACTGCACAATGCTCCTTCCTTTTAATTTTGTTTTCAAAAGAGAGAGCTCCAAAACATCATTGTATGCTGAGGGGAGGTCTTTGTTTCTGGTCAGATGAGCATGAGCAGGGAGTGCCGACAAAGGCTGCAGAGCACCATCAAGTCATAAAAAGGCTCACCGACCCTGAGAAGGGCACTCATCCTGCAAGCCCAGGACACGGGAGGCCTTCCTGAATCACACCACCCGGAAGAACGCTCCCAGTCTCGACCGATACTGTAACGGAAGGCAGAGCCCCAACACGCAGTGCAGATTCAAACAGGAAGGACAGCCTAGAAAGAGCAGCACTACGATTCAAACAGATTACAGAAAGGAAAATGCCCAAATATAATTTTATGCTGATTAAAACGTTCATGTTTTCTTAAAAAGAACTACTGTGTGGCCTAGAAGATAAGCTAGGCCAGGCACCAATGGCTCATGCCTATAATTCTAGCTGCTCACGAAGCTGGGATCTGAGGATCACCATTTGATAAACTAGGTATCATTTATCTGGAATGCACAATATTTGAAAACAAGCTTAGAACTCTCCCCTGGCAGTCTGATTTCCCTCTGGGAAGTCTGCGGAAGTCGTGACAGCTGTCTCCCCTGGAGGCACACTGCCCATCCCTATCCTCCCCCCAACTTCCTCCTTCTGCCCTTTTATGCAACAGGAAAAACTACACCACCAGGATTTAAAATCCTAAGTTCTGAGCCTGGCTTCATCATAACCTCATAACTTAAGTCACATATCCTCCTTGCTAGAGATGTGTACAACAAAAATTTAGGGCTGCAAATTGACAACTGTCTTAACCTGTGATGGGACAACAGAACACAGTATTCACAGACGCATTTATAATAGTCCAGGGAGTGAAACAGTTGTAGATTCAAGAAGCAGAACAACTTTTGTCTTCTTGTTCAGCACTCATTTCATCCCTTTTGGCCACAAAGTCTAAGGATCATCCTCTATGCAAAGAAATTATACATTGGAAGACTTTATTTTTCTTTTCTTTTTTTTTTTTTTTGTCGGTCGTGGGGCTTGAACTCTGGGCGTGGGCGCTGTCCCTCAGCTCTTCAGCGCTCTACCACTTGAGCTACAGCGCCACTTCCGGTTTTCTGGTGGTTTATTGGAGATAGGAGTCTCACAGTTTCTCCTGCCTGGGCTGGCTTTGAACCGCGATCCTCAGATCTCAGCCTCCTGAGTAGCTAGGATTACAGGCGTGAGCCACCAGCGCCTGGCTAAGACTTTATTTTTCAAAAGACAAATGTACAGATAGGCAAGAGTGGTTCACACATCTGCAATCCTGGCCTGTCAGGGGCCGAGACCTGGAGGATGGCGGTTCAAAGACAGCCCATGCAGAAAAGTCATCTCCAGTTAACCAATTAACCTGAAAAATGCTACACTGGAGGTGAGCTCTGGCTAGACTGGCTCAAGCGGTAGAGCATCAAGCAGGAGAAAAGAAGCCAAAAATGAGGGTGTGAGGCCCTGAGTTCAAGACCAAGTATTGGCATAGGGAGAGCGGCAAAGAGACAGAGACACAGAGAATTGTACATCTAACACAAGAAAGAGGTACATGCTACTGGTCAGTAGAAAAGTACATAATAATGAGACAGTCAAGACCTCTCTGTACCACCCATGTAAAGGCCGCACCACAAGGTCCTCAGGGGAGGCTACAGAGCTCTCAGAAATGTCTGCCCTTGAGATGCTTTAGGGGAGAAGAAATACTGGGTTCCTTAGGTGTTGAGTGGGTCTTCCTAATGCTTGGGCTACACAAAGGAGGAGCGGTCCTGGAGGGTGTCAGAAACAAGCTGGAGCCAAAAGGTAACATGTTATGTTTGTCAACCTCTAAGGTCTCAGGTACAACCTCCAGGCAGCCCTGTTTGTTTCTGGCCCTCCAATAAGGGCAGCCAGAGCTCCCTGGAGTCCAGACCAGAGACTTGACTACAGGGAACTCCAGCCCTGCGGTAAAAACTCGGCCCAGACCTGCTTTGGCAGATCTGTGAACGTTTGTGCCATCAAATACACTGCTACCAGCTTTTTACTGACAGTGAAAAGACCACCTTACCTGTGAAAGTACCACTAAGTAATGACAGAGTCAGACCTGGGAGCGTGTGGCCAAAACACCAGTCTAGCCTGGACCACTGAGAATGGAGCGTACCCAACCCTCATGAAGAGAGCCTTTACCTGTGAGAGCACTGTGAGTATGCACACGGAACGGTCAGACAGGACCCTCTCACATGAGGCCAAAGGAACCATGGAGAGCGGCGTTCCTACTGTCTCTCCCTAAAGCCCCTATTTCCAGGACAGGATCAGACACTTAAGACTCAGCACTACTACCACATGTCCTCATCCCTTAGAAATGCAACTCAGGGTCCTGTGGCTTTCTTATTGAAAACAGACCTCTCTGTATCCTGCACACATCAGACCCAGGTGACATTGCTCTTGCTAGGGGGATATGTCTCTTCTTTTTTTTTTTTTTGTCGGTCATGGGGCTTGAACTCTGGGCCTGGGCGCTGTCCCTCAGCTCTTCAGCTCAAGGTGAGCGCTCTACCACTTGAGCTACAGCGCCACTTCCGGTTTTCTGGTGGTTTATTGGAGATAGGAGTCTCACAGTCGCTCCTGCCCGGGCTGGCTTTGAACCGCGATCCTCAGATCTCAGCCTCCTGAGTAGCTAGGATTACAGGCGTGAGCCACCAGCGCCCGACGGATATGTCTCTTCTTTACTCCAGCTCTTAGCAGGAAGTTCTAAGGATAAAAGGCTGCCATGCGATTTGATAGCTCCGTGACACCTGCAGGAGCTTCAGGGACTCAGTGTCGTCCATCCTCACAGGGGGCAAGGAAAGGAAGGAGCATGGTAACTGGCACCCTTCCCCGCTTCCTCTCTCCCTTCCCCTTTCTTTTTGTGGCACTAGGTTTTGAACCTAGGGTTCTCACACTTCTTAAGTAAGTCTACCACTTAAACGACAAACCTTCTAGCTCAATAACCTGTACCTGTGACCCTCCAGTGTCGAGGTAACATTGTTTTAGTTATCACTCAATGAAACAAACATGACCATCACAAGTTTCCCAAGATTCCTAGATTTAGAGGGAAATACTCTCCACTCATTCCCACGTTGCTGTTTCCTCTTCCGAGCCTGGGGAGCCCTACTTAGCCCCAGAGTCTGTCCCTACCAAAGCTGCTGCATACTCCCCGGCAGTATTAACTCACTCCCCTTTGGGAACACAAGCTCTAGCACTGCAGGCCTTGGGCACCAGGTCATACTTATTTTTGACTCCTTAAAGCCTTACACAGTTCCTGCACAAAAAGGGGCCGCAAGAAACACTGGCGAGTCAGTCCTCATCAACCCCTTGCCTCACGAAGAGGCGAGGAATCCATTCCTTCCAGGAAGCCCAGCCCCTTGCCTGGGAGTCACGTACCTTGTGCAGCGTGTCGGCATTGTCATAGTAACCCTGAAGCTCCTGGTGAAGCACGCGATTTTCCTCGGTTAGGATCTCCACCATCTGCTGGGCTC